CGTCCGAGGACCCCACTCTGCAACACTCGGTGGCTCCCTAAGCCATCGTGAGCTGGAGCAGGCGTGTCTCTCCCAGCCGCAACGCCCTGACTCCCACGTGGGACAGCAGCCTGTCTCGGTGCCTGTGTGCGGCTATAACAAAGCGCCTGGGGAGGGAAACTTAATAAAGAACAGAAACTTGTTTCCCACCGTCCCGGAGGCTGGCAGGGTGGGGAGTGGGGCGGGGGCTGCCCCAGCTTCCACCATGGCACCTTGGTGCCGTGCTGTCCTGGGGGGAGGCGAGTGCAGGCTGCCCGGAGCCCCCACAGCGGTCTCACCCCGCTTCCAGGGCCTGATCACCTCTCCCCAGCCCACCGCCCAGGACCGTCTGCTGGCCACCCAGCTTCGGCCTGTGAATCCTGAAGGGGACACGTTCGGCCAGAGCAGAGCTCGACAGATGTGTGTGGGACAAACTGTCACAGAACAAACCTCACCTGTTAAACGTGAGCTGAGTGGATCCAACCCCGGGGGCAGCCGGACCCCTTCCCCTTTTGGGGCAGTCGAGGACAGCTGCGGGTCCCCGGGTGGCCTTGGCACCCTCCAGGGACCTGGAGAACCTGTTGTCAGGAGGCTGGGAGCCTGAACGAACGATGGTCTCACCCAGAGCGTATTCGTTTATCAGCCCTGTCACTCAGCGGAAGACGTTTCCTGAGCACCTACTATGTGCAGGCGCCATGCTGAGTGCAGCGGTTGCAGCAGGAATCGAAACCACACTGTGAAGCCCCTCGCTGTGCGCCTAGGTGAGCCAGGATGAGGGAGGGGCTGGGACAGAGGCAGAGTGAGGGGAGGGCGGCTGTGTCCACTGGGTGCCAGGGGCAGTGAGCGGGAGGGAGGCAGCGGAGGGTGAGGACGAGGGCCGGGGGTCAGAGGAGCCTGCGGGGGCTCCCTGGGCCAGGAGGGACCTCGTGGCTGCTCTCGTGTGACGCCGTCAGCCGAGCCCCGTCTTCGTGCCGGGGCGCCCCGTTTTGCCCGTGTGGCGCAGCTCGTCTCTGGCGGGGACCCAGGACGGCGTGCTCACCTTGACCCCTCAGGCAGGGCCCCTGAGGACAGAGACGGCACCGTCCCGTGCTGGGCCGCCCCCGTCGCCCACCTGCCCCGCCCAGCTGGGGAGACAGGTGCCTGGCTGTCCTCCGTGTCCTTGGTCCAGATGGTGCAGAGGACTCCCCCACCCATCGGGAGGAGCTCCACGAGCCTCCAGAGCCAGGAGGGGCCGGGAGGGGGACCAGGTGGTGACGTTGGGCGGAGGAAGGATGACAGCTCCCTGCCCGCCAGCCGTCAGCCCCAGACAGGCCGCTGACGGGGAGGGGGCGGCAGAGGTGGCTGCAGGGGGAGCCGGAGAGGCGCTTCCCCACACCCGCCTCCGGGCCGCTGCTGGGCACGTGCCCACTTGGCGGAGCTGGGCTGCACCCCACGTCTTCCTGGAGGAGACTCCGACAACCTGCGCCGCAGAGTCCCGGGAAACGAGGGGCCTGGATCCAGGAGGGTGAGGTCAGGTGCACCCCAAAAGGTCTCCAGCTGCCGGGGTTCAAGCCCAGGTCCGGGAGCCAGAGCCCCAGGTGGGGCACACGGCAGCTCGCACCCCAGCTGCCCTCTGCCGGCCCGTGATGGACCCTCGGCTCCCGGGCGGCCTGCGGGACAGCGACCTGGAACAGCACACACCAGCCTCGGCGTGCCCAGGACGAAAGTGCTTTCCTCCAGAAGGAAAGGACGTCACCAGGGAAGTCCTGCCTTTCCACCCAGGGACTCGCTGTGGCCTCCTGGTGGAAGGACGGGACGCCAGGCCCCTGGGCGGCAGCGGGGGGAGCGGCCGGGGTGTGGGGGCAGGCCCTGGGCAGCAGCCTTCCCCACTCCCTGGGTCTACCCCTAGTCCTAAAGCCGGAGGAGACCCGGAGAGAGCCCCCTCCCAACCTTCTGCCGTCAATCGGGAAACCCAGATAGGCCTCCGTCCACCCTGCAGCTCAGGGGCAGGCCAGGGTCAGCTCGGGGAGCCCCTCCCCATAACGTCACTGTCATCCCCCCGTGAAGTCAGATGTGTCACGAGGCTCGGTCGGATTCGCCACTTCTCGTCTGCGGCGGGAACATGGGCACCAGGAGAGGCCAGGCCTGTCTGCAGCCTTGGCTCCTGGGAGGCTGAGGCAGGAG